TCAAAATTCTTACATTCAGCATTCATAATTTCATTTTAATATATTCTTCTCCGAGAAAATTAAAACATCAATTTTTTATTATTTGATCTTATCTAAAGTATGATAGATTAATTGAGCACATATGTTAAAGAATTCCATTTATGTTTGGGTTCAACATCATGAGAAGCAATTAGATTTTCATCTTCTAAAACAATGGTGGTTTCTCTGGGCAAAGCTTTATTATCACAAGGTTTAACAAACATGGGTTCTTTCTTTTGCATTCAAAGGGATGTGTTTACGAGAGAAAGAGGAGAGAGGATACTTCTTTGCTCCTGTTCACTTCCACTGGCCATTTGAAAGAATGCTTTGTGCTTTATTTTACCCTAATTTATTGGCTATATACCTTCATGAGGTACAGCAGTCTTGCATAAGGCCACAACTTAGGATGCAATAACTGTTATAGTTTCATCCACTCTGTTTCCTCTAACGTCTTTTTATCCCGATTGTTACAACATTGTGTCAATATGTGACTTCAAAGGTTTTTGAGGTTGTTTTCTGGTGAAATTCCCCTAAGCCATGCCACCTCTGATTATGAGGGTTATAGGCAGAAAGTTTGAAATCAGAATTTTTTGGGAAAATCTAGATATAATCACCAAAGAAGTAGGTAAAGTAGCTATAAACAGAAACATTTTTACTATGTGATGAGTTAGAGAAAATAGGAAATAAGAATTTTTGACATCTCTGCCAGCAACTCCCCTAATCCCCCTAGAGAATAATATAAGTTCCATTCAAAATTAATGTTTATACTCAGCTTAAGAGACAGATGGGAAGGAATTATTAATGCCATTAGCCTTGGAGTCAGAAGATAATACAGTCAACTGAATCACCACTGTTCAAGGGGTTATTACTGTTACTTCAGACATATCACAGCCTCTGCTGAAATGAATTCTCCTCATCTGTTACTTAACTTTGTGATCTCAGTTTACTTATTTTAGGAATAAGATCTAATAGATATAATAGTATCTATTAATAGTATCTATTAATAGTATCTCTACCTAATAAGATTATCCTGAGGTTCTCTAAGATAATTTATAAGAAGCCTAACGACAGTCCCTAAAATTTAGTAAATAGTCATTAAATTTAGCTAATAAAAATCATAATTCATAATGGCAACAATATGGAGCTGTGCAAATTAAAGGTATTTATGATGTCTAATGCATATCTCAGATGGTTTTAAACCACAGGAAAAAAAGAGTTAGTACTTAATTTAGCATGTAATGGAGAGGTGTTGGCTTCTTCTCCCTCTTTTTTCTAGCAAGGAATTGGCATGACAGGAATTCCACTTTTGAAAGATTAGTTTGTCAGCAGTAGGAGGGATGGTGGGGGGGGCGTGAGTTAAGGATGACTCCTAGGCTTCCAGCTTGAATGAAAAGGAGGTTGTTGGTTCCACTAATGGCAGTAAGATGATCTGGATGAGGGATATATTTGAAAACTATTATGGATTTTATTTTAACATGCTGAGAATAAGGTGTAAGAATAATATCCTTAATAGTAATAGTTTATTGTTGAATA